GGTAGAAGCTCACGTCACCAAGGGCCTTGCACTTGAACTTGTCTTGAAGCTTCAGCATCACCTCCTTCACAAGGTCAGAAGAGGGTGAGAAAATGAGGATGTCATCCACATAAACCACCATGAAACTCCTCTGCTCCCCCTCGCCAAGCATGAACAAGGAGTGATCGGCCGTTGAGGGAGTGAAGCCGATCCCCTCCAACACTTCGCGCAGCTTCATGTACCATTGCCTAGGGGCCTGCTTCAGCCCATAGAGGGCCTTCTTCAGCTTCCACACTCTGCCACTACCATCATCAAACCCCTCTGGCTGCGCCATAAAAATCTCCTCCTCAAGGATGCCGTTAAGGAATGCCGTTACGATGTCCATTTGCTTTACTTCCCATCCTTTGATGGCGGCTCCCGCGAATAGGGTTCGCAGCGTCGTCGGCTTCACCACAGGGGCAAACAGCTCCTTGAAGTCCACCTTCTCCTTCTGCTGGTACCCCTTGGCTACAAGCCTAGACTTGTAGCGCTCGATCTTGCCGTCGGCATCCGACTTGATTTTGAAGAGCCACTTGGACGTTATCGCCGTACGCCCCTCCGGTAGCTCCACCAATTCAAACGTGTCATTCTCCTCGATGCTCTTCAGCTCACTCTCCATGGCCTTCTTCCACTCCTCAGCATCACTACTCTCCAAAGCCTCCTTGAGAGTTGCTGGTTCTCCCGGCATCTCCACCGGAGAGAAGAACGCGAAGGCACACTCCTCGTAGTCACTCTCCTCGTCGTCTCCGACCATCATTGCCGCTCCGGCCAGGGCTGTCTTGCCCTGCTTTCCCGGCGCATCATAGGTCAGCCTATTAGGGGGTTGAACTCTCCTCTTCCCCATTCCTTCCTCCTCAGCTGCAGGGACTTGAAGGCCTTGGCGTTGCTGCGGTGTGGCTCGAATCCGTGGAGCACTCGTAGTACGGGAAGGGAGTGACGGTGCACGCTCGCTCACTTGCTGCACCTCCTCCTCTTCTTCCTCTGCATCATTGGCCTCCTCTCCCCCATTCACAAGGGAGGATTGCCTTGTGGTTGTGCTGCCGCTGCTCAGCTCCAAAGGCAGCTCCACATGCTCCAAACCGGAACTCTTCACCTCCCCAAACCGCACGCCTATCTTCGCCTCATTCTCCGCCTTCCAATCCTTGTACATGAAGTTCTCCATGAACTTGCAGTCCCTGCTCACCAAGAACTTCTTGGTGAATGGGTCCCAAAGAAGCCATCCCTTGCTGTTTTGAGCCATGCCCAAGTGCACGGCCCACACCGCCTTGGCACCAAGCTTGTTGTGCCGAAGATGCTTAGGCACGAGCGCCATGCACATGCACCCGAACACCCGAAGCATATCCACCTTTGGCTTCCTTCCTAGCCACTCCACATAGGGCACCCATTTGTCTGCTCCCACATGAGTCAAAGCTCTGTTCTTGGCCACACACGCGCTCCGCACCGCATCAGGCCAGAAATAGTCGGGTAGCCCGGCTTCAATGAGCAACCCGCGTGCCGCCTCCGTGATTGTGCGGTTCGCTCGCTCGGCGATGCCGTTCATTGCAGGGGAGTATGGCATGGTGAGGGAGTGCCGAATACCATTCTTCTTCAGCCACAACCCAAACTCCTTGCTCAGGAACTCTCCCCCTCGATCGGTGCGGATTGACTTGACTAGACGGTCTTGTTGCCGCTCCACCATCGGGAACCAATCCGTCTTCAACGTTTCAGCCACATCGCTCTTCTTGGCCAGCACGTACACCCAAGTCATGCGGGTGTAGACGTCGACAATGGTGAGAAAATACTCAGCTCCAGCAGCTCCCAGCTTCAGGGGTCCCACCACGTCCATCACCACCTCATCAAGCGGTGCCTTTGCCGTTGCCTCCGAACTAGGGAACGGAAACCGGGTGAACTTGGCTTGAATGCACGTCGGGCAGCCAAGCACCTCATCGGGCTCCCCCTTCACACGTATGCCAGCAACCATCTCATTCTTCACTAGCTGCTGCAAGATGGGCAGGGCCACATGTTCCATGCGCCGATGCAAGGTGAGCCAATCACACTCCCCCGTAGCCGAAGTTGGATTGGAGAATGCCGCGCTCGCAATAGCGCCCCACATACTCTCTCCGTAGTCCTCCTCCGCTGCTGCCTCTGGGTTCTCCTCACCCTTTTGCTGCTCCTTGGTTGCTGCACCACTCTCCTTAGGTTCACTGAACTTGCTGGTCCCTCCAGGTTTGCTCTTCTTGAGCTCATTCTCCTTAGCGCGACCGTTCGCGCCATCGTCGCTACCGACCGCTCCATCGTTGGTGCTGATGCTTGCTGCCACTTGCCTCTCCTTAGGCATAGGGACCAGTGGGATCTGCCACATCTCGTTGTAGACATCCCTGTCCTCATGAAGGTCCCAAAGAATTCGATCGCCAAGCCTTGCAGTGTAGGTCTTGGCTCCCTTCGAGTTCGTGTCCATGCCGGCCTTTGCCAACCGCCGCACGGAAATCAGGTTTGCAGCAAGGCTGGGCACCCAAAGCACGTTCTTGAGGCCCACCATCTTCCCATCAGCACCCTTGAACATGGCCTTGCCCATGCCTTTCACCTCTGCTCGCTGCCCCAAAGCCGATGTGACATGCTTCACCGGTGACGGCTCGAGTTCGGTGAGCAAGTCCGGGCGAGGTGTCATGCTATAGGTAGCGCCACTATCAATCACCCAATAGTCCAGGGGGTGTAGGGTCACCTTCCCCACAGCTGCTGGCTCCTCAAAGCCTTCATCCTTCTCTGGACCAGCCGGTACTTGCGTCGACACGAAGTAGAATAGACCCGGGTATCGATCGTCGCTCGGGTCCTTGTCGTTGTCTCCGCTCTTCATGTTTGCAGCTCCGCCACCGCGACCGCCACGGCCTCCACGGCCTCGTCCTCTCCCTCCTCCTGCTCCTCTACCCTCTTGGCCTTGAGCAGGGGTCCAACCATCAGGGAGTTTGTAGCAGTCGCGCCACATGTGTCCGCTCTTGTGGCAATAGTGACACTCGCCGTCGAATCGGCCGCGACCGCGTCCGTAGCTCTTGTTGTCGCTGCCGTAACCGCCACTCCTGCGGCCTCCGCCGAAGTTGCTGCCACCAAACCTTCCTCCCCCTCGTCCTCTGCCTCTTCCTCGACCATATCCACGGCCGATGCTCGCTGCCTCAGCGCCATCCGCACTCGCCAACTCACGGCGGCGGAAATCCTCTTGAAGGATAGCTCGCTTCACGTCTTCAAGCGAGAGGCGGGGCAAGTCGCGATTAAGGTTGATGATGAGCGAGGACCATGACTCTGGGAGTAAGGCCAGCAACTTGGTCTTCTTTTGGAGCTCACTGTAGTTCAAATCAGCTCCCTCAAGCCGCGTCAACAAGTCGAAGAATTTCTGCACCCCTTCTTCAACCGCTTCGTCTTCTTCAATTCGTAGTGCCGCCATTTGCCGTTCCAACACCACCGCTACCGCCGCTGTTGCAGGAGCATGTACACCCTTGAGAGCAGCCCATGCCTTTGGTCCTTTCTCTGGTTCACGCTGGAATGGCTTGATGTGACGGATCTGACTGCTCCCCAACGCTTGCCCAAGTAAGAGATAGCCTTGTGCGCTCTTCCGCACCCACGGGCTCTTCTCCGGGTCGTTCTCGGGGCGCTTCTCCGTTCCTTCCATCACCTCCAGCAGGTCATAGTGGTCAAAGATATTCTCCATCTTGAAGGACCATTCAGCAAAGTTGTCACCGTTGAACTTGTCAAGCCCAAACACCCTAGGCTCATCCCTAGGTGGGCCAAGACTTGGTTGCATGGGCGCCATGGCTGAATCACGGGGTTGGCCTTGAGCTTGAGCTTCTCCACTGCCACCAGCACCTCTGCCACCCCTTTCCTCAGGTCCAGACATTGTCGAAACTGCTCCAAGGGCCTCTGATACCACTTGTTATAGTCACAATAGCCTTGAATGTGCCTAAAACGAAAGATAGAGAGCACAGACGGATTTCTGCACAGCGGCTTCAAACGTTGATAGCGTTCTGCTCACAGCTGCAAATGACTTGATTCAAATTGGATCTGGAGCGTCTTCACGTCGTCTACAATTAGCAATTTAGATTGCACGATTTGATAAAGAATTGACGACACAGCGTCGGTTTGAACGAACGGTACTATGGCAGCCACTATAGTCTTAGAACACAAGATAGGAAGAGTTACGAGTTGGGAATGACTCCCAGCTCCTACAAACCCCAAGAGCCGAGGTACAGTGATGTGGAACAGTGCCACACTGTCCCCAACCACGAAGGGTCTCGAAACTACCCTTCACTAGGGCCTACACCAAGTGAAATGTTACACTACACAAAGTAATGTAACTATCTTCAATATCTTGAGGTGTACCCTTTTGGCGAGCTTCGAAATCACTTGAGGCTTGACACCAAGGCTCGGGCTCTTCATCACAAACTCATCCTTGAGTTCTTGATGGGTCTTCTGCACACACCTGCGACACGCCGAACGTTCGACACAGGACAAAATAGAAACCGCGCACGACAAAATAGAAACCGCGCGCGAGACACAAACGACCGCGTAACACGCGTCTAGCGATAACTCGCTATTGACTCGACACACACACTCGACATCATGACTCAACATTCACACACAATTATAAGCATGAAATATATATTATCCCATGCCCTCATACCATTCCATACACACACACATTCACGCACACGGACAACAAGCCGAGTGCAAACCGTAGGGTTGCACCAACAGAGAGGAGGTGGTTAGTTGCTTCCGTGCTTCCTCAGTGGCTCTGCCAGGCAGAGAGTAAGGCAGGGGCGAGGCGGAGATGGGGGGAGAGGAGGTGGTTAGTTGCTGCCGTGCTTCCTCAATGGCTCTGCCAGGCAGAGAGTAAGGCAGGGGCGAGGCGGAGATGGGGGGAGAGGAGGTGGTTAGTTGCTGCCGTGCTTCCTCAGTGGCTCTGCCAGGCAGAGAGTAAGGCAGGGGCGAGGCAGAGATGGGGGGAGAGGAGGTGGTTAGTTGCTGCCGTGCTTCCTCAGTGGCTCTGCCAGGCAGAGAGTAAGGCAGGGGCGACGCAGATTGGGGGGAGAGGAGGTGGTTAGTTGCTGCCGTGCTTCCTCAATGGCTCTGCCAGGCAGAGAGTAAGGCAGGGGCGAGGCGGAGATGGGGGGAGAGGAGGTGGTTAGTTGCTTCCGTGCTTCCTCAGTGGCTCTGCCAGGCAGAGAGTAAGGCAGGGGCGAGGCGGAGATGGGGGGAGAGGAGGTGGTTAGTTGCTGCCGTGCTTCCTCAATGGCTCTGCCAGGCAGAGAGTAAGGCAGGGGCGAGGCGGAGATGGGGGGAGAGGAGGTGGTTAGTTGCTGCCGTGCTTCCTCAGTGGCTCTGCCAGGCAGAGAGTAAGGCAGGGGCGAGGCAGAGATGGGGGGAGAGGAGGTGCTTAGTTGCTGCCGTGCTTCCTCAGTGGCTCTGCCAGGCAGAGAGTAAGGCAGGGGCGAGGCAGATTGGGGGGAGAGGAGGTGGTTAATTGCTGCCGTGGTTCCTCTGTGGCTCTGCCAGGCAGAGAGTAAGGCAGGGGCGAGGCAGATTGGGGGGAGAGGTGGTGGTTAGTTGCTGCCGTGCTTCCTCAGTGGCTCTGCCAGGCAGAGAGTAAGGCAGAGATTAAGGCAGGGCTGTGGGAGATACATGGGAGTTGGAGCTGCTAAGGTAGGGAGAATTGAAAGGGAGCATGGTACTTTGGGGGAGAGTGTGTGTGGTGTTACAAAATGGGTGGTTACACAATGGTAGTTACCTGCTTTGAAGACAGAGAGGAACAGGGTGATGGAGTTGCTTCCGAGCACCACCCGGCGCGTGTCCGGGCGCGAGATGCGAAGGTCGAAGGAGTTGATCACTGAGCACCGGCCCGAAAACAAGCATTCGTGCTTGAAAGCCTGGAGCCTGTCGCGGACGTACTTCCGCCTGTCTAGGTCGAACTGGTACACGTGCCGCAGGTTCTACTTCTGCGCCTTTGTCGTGTACCCCATCGCCAGCTCCATGGCACCCAGGACAATGCACCGCGGCGGCCAGAAATCGATTCGGCTGTTTGGGGTTTTGAAAAATATAAAGTCCAGAGCGTCGTTTATGACAAGCTGTGCAGTAAAGGAGGGGGCGGGGGTGGGGGCAGATGGATAAGTTAAGTGAAGAGTTTAGTGTTCATGTGGTGTGGGTGGAAGAGATTATAGAGAACCAGGAGGGTTCGTGGGGAAAAGGGGGATACGCTACATACGAGGTGGTTTGGGGGGCATGTCGTTGATACTATGAGGTTAAGGGGGGGTTGCACGCTTTACGTGGCATGCACGACAGTGGGGATGCAGAGATGGGAGTATGCAGTACAGTCAGGTTTAGGGTGGACAGAAGGTGAGACGGAGACTTCCAGAGCATAGTGCATGTCACATGGATCGGAGGCAACTTACAGTTAGACCATGTGGTTGAGGAGGTACTGACGTCATTGCCGTGGCGAGCACCTGAGCGAACTCCTGAAACTTGGGAGCCACTATGTCATTGCTCACGGGCACCTTAGTCTGGTACGCGACAGCAATAGCAGCTACCACGGCTTGTTGTGTTGTCAAGTAGCATGGAGTGGCAGACTCATTCGAGAGGGGGTTAGAAGAGGAGGGAACTTGTCACAGAGTCACAACCTGGTTCTTCAAGGTCAAATTTTCCCGTCGCAAAGATCGAACAAGAGCCGACATCGAGTCGATCTACTCCCTGCTCACACGAGCTCCTGCAGCATGCGGTGTCAGAATGTCCAGGGATTCATCATCAGAGCCATCATCAGGCTCGCCCACGGGTCCCGGGTCCTCACCACCTGTTGGGATACTAGGGATGACGGGCGAAGGTGTAATGTCACCTGCAACGGGTTGAGGCGTAGCCGGGCTGACCGTCCCTGGACCGGTGGTCTGAGGTGGTTGCTCGTTCAGGGCTTGTGGGGACGCCTCGAACAGAAGTGCACCAAGATCGTTCGAGTCACAGCGCGTAAAATCATACTCATCTGCTCTGCGGGTACACGGGGCGGGGATAGAGTGAGTGCCAGCATTCAAAGCCCACGGTATCTCGCCGTGTCTGACATTTACCGGTGCTGGCGGAGCCTGCATGTGTGAGGGATGGGGTGTGGGGAAAGGAGCATTGGGGTGAACAAGGGGGGGAGAGTGTCAAACTTATATGCTATAGTCTGTTTAGGCTGTAGTGGGGTAGTTCTTACAGGGTACAACACTTCTAGGTTTCCTATATGTACCCACCTGCTTTCTAGTTCAGTCATTCATTCGTTCTCATTCTAACATGGTATTCTGAGTAGGTTCCCTAGTGGGAACGTCTTTCTTTGGGCCCACCACGAAATGTTTTCCTACCCGAAGCGCGCCTCGCGCCTGTTTCACCTGCGTCGTCGCGCGCCCTTCCCTTGTGCTGCCCGTAGTGGCCCTGCCTTAGCGGCCCGTCGTGGCTCTGCCTTAGTGGCCCGTCCCGGCCCCTCCCTAGAGGCCCGCCCCCGCCCCGCCCTAGAGGCCCGTCGCAGCCCGTTCCTAGAGGCCCGTCGCGGCCCGTTCCTAGAGGCCCGTCGCGGCCCCGCCCGTCGCCGGCCCGTCGCTGGCCCGTTGCCGCCCGTCGCCGGCCAGTCGCCGGCCCGTTGCCGCCTGTCGCCGGCCTTCGCCGGCCCGCTGCCGCCCGTAGCCGGCCCGCTGCCGCCCGTCGCCGGCCCGCTGCCGCCCGTAGCCGGCCCGCAGCCGCCCGTCGCCGGCCCGCTGCCGCCCGTGGCCGGCCCACTGCCGCCCGTTGCTGGCCAGCTGCCGCTCGTTGCCGGCCCGCAGCCGCCCGTCGCCGGCCCGCTGCAGCCCGTCGCCGGCCCGTTGCAGCCCGTCGCCGGCCCGTCGCCGGCGAGCTGCCGCCCGTCCCCGGCTGTCGCTGGCCCGCTGCCGCCCGTCGCGAGCCCGTTGCCGCCCGTTGCTGGCCCGTCACTGGCCTGTCGCGGCCCTGCCTGCACCGCCAGTAGCGGCCCTGCCCCCCGTTGCTGCCCCAGTTGCGGGCCTGTCTGCACCCTCCCCTGGTAAGCACCCGTGCCGCCAGGAGCTGAGCCGCGCCGCCCAGCCGAGCCGCGCCGCCCAGCCGAGCCGCGCCGCCCAGCCGAGCCGTGCCGCCCCACCGTGTTGCACTGCCCTACTGCCTCTGCTCCTACTGCTGCTACTGCTGTTTTTGCTGCTACTGCTGCTACTCTTGCTACTGCTTTTACTGCTGCTATGGCTAGTCCTACCGTTCTTACGTTTGACGCTGAGGGACGTGCAGTTGACTTTGACGTGTGGGTTGACGACCTCCAGCTCTTTCTTCAGTGTGATTCTAGGGATGGGGTGTCCCTTTTTGATCACACGTCCGGTGCTTCTACTGCTCCTACTGCCACTGCTGACAATACGGTTCGCTCGCAGTGGACCACTCGTAACGCTGTTGCTCGTCTTGCTGTTCGTAGTCACCTGCCGCCCGCTGAGCGCGCGCATTTTGGCCAGTACAAGACTGCTCAGTCTTTGTACGACGCTGTGGTTGCACGCTACTCCTCTCTGCCACTGCTGCCCTCAGCCGCCTCATGCTGCCGTACCTCTTCCCCGACCTTGCTGCCTTTGCCACAGTCGCTGACCTAGTTGCTCACCTTCGCACTAGTGACGCCCGCTACCGCTCTGCCCTTCCCACTGAGTTCTGTGCCAAGAACCCCCCCCCCATGTACATCACCCTTTACTACCTAGTCACCCGCCTCCCTGACTCACGTTCTTCAGTCAGGGACCACTTTCTCTCCCTTTGCCCCACCGAGCTGACTGTCGACCTGCTAGAGGAGCGCCTTACTGCAGCTGAGAAGAGTATCTTAGCTGTAGGTGCTTCTCGCGGCGACCGTCGCACCCCTTTCTTTGAGGGGTGCTCCCCTGTCCCCCTTCTCCCCTCTGTTGCTTCTGCTGCTGCTGTCGACCTCGTTGGCATTGAGGAGGTTGGAGCTGCGTCTGCCCCTAGTGGGAGACGCCGCAACAGCAGGGGCAAGGGGAGCAAGGGTGGTGGAGGGGGCGGCCGGGGGGGTGGTGGAGGAGGTGGTGGAGGCGGAGCGGGTGGCGCTGGAGGTGGGGGTGGTACCGGGAGTTGGGGCTTCAGTGGTGGCGGAGGAGGTGGTGGAGGCAGCGGCGGAGGTGGAGGAGGCAGCAGCAGCGGTGGTGGAGGTGGCGGCGGTGGTGGTGCTGGTCGAGGTGCAGCCGCGCAGCGTGGAGGCCTTGGTGGTAGCCAGCGCCAGCAGCAGCCGCGCTCCCGTGAGACTCCGTCGGTCCAGCAGCTTCGTGAGTGGTACGCTGGGCGTGGGAGGTCTGGGGGTGCTGGTCCCTGCACTTACGTTCTTCGCTCCGGCACTCGTAGTGGTGAGGTGTGTGGACTCCCACACACTACGCAGCGCTGCTTTGGTCGCTTGAGTGACGCTTGGCGTGCCCAGTTTCCTGACGCCGTTGAGCTCCCTCGCTGGCATGATCTGCTTCTGCAGAATGTGCCTATCTTTGATCTTGATTTCGATGCTATCCTTACTGCCATGTATGCTATTGCTGATAGTGCTGAGGGTGACTGTTACCTGCGTGTCCCGCCCGACCCGGGCATTGCGGCTGCTGCTCTAGGTGCTAGTGCGGCTGCTGCTCTAGGTGCTAGTGCGTCTGCTGCTCCAGGTACTAGTGCGTCTGCTGCTCCAGGTGCTGGTGCGTCCCCTCTCTCTGGTAGTGCACCTAGTGAGTCCTTGCACACTTTCACACTTGACTCTGGTGCTTCGCGCTCTTTCTTTAGAGACAGCACCACGCTCACGCCGCTCAGTCGGCCTGTTGCGGTCTCCCTTGCTGACCCCTCAGGGGGCCCAGTCCTTGCACACTCCTCCACGGTTCTACCGTGTCCTGCGGCCCCGTCGGGCTTGCTGTCGGGACTCCACCTACCCTCGTTCTCTACGAACTTGGTGAGTGGAGCTGACCTCCAGGACGCGTGGGTTGACCAGTTCACCCCTGGAGGTCAGCGTGTGACCCACTGCACTTGCTCGAGGACGGGCCGCCACCTGGCCACGTTCACCCGTCGGCCAGGTTCGAGTCTGTACACACTGACTACTGCGCCTCCTCCGGTCCCTAAGTCTGGTCAGGTAGCTGCGCTCAGTCAGGTGTTTGCTGCCGCGTCCAGGTCTAGCCCTGCGTCTGCCCCCTGCTCGTGTCGTCCTCTGGCGCACGAGGCTCTCCTTTGGCACCACCGCCTTGGTCACCCCTCCCTGCCTCGTCTTCGAGGTATGGCCTCCCGTGCCCTTGTCTCTGGACTCCCCAGGTCCCTCCCTCCCCTTCCTCTGGGGCCTGCCCTCACCTGTGTTCCTTGTGTCGAGGGCCGGCAGCGCGCCGCTCCTCACTCCTCCTCGTTTCCTCCGACTGAGGCCCCTCTGCAAACTCTTCACATGGACGTGTGGGGCCCAGCCCGCGTCCGTGGACAGGGTCACGAGCGTTACTTCCTGCTGGTCGTTGACGACTACTCGCGTTACACCACAGTCTTCCCCTTGCGCAGCAAGGGTGAGGCCCCTTGCGCAGCAAAGCACTCAAACTCCTCATGTATGTCCTCAAGAACGTCCGTGCCAAGAGCACACTCACCCCCGACGGACAGAGGACAGACAGACACAGACGCAGACTCAGCAACAAGGCTAGTGGCAAAGTCAAAGCGACAGGTAGCAGCAAAGTCAACAAGCTCAGCAACGAGAGCAGACGCAGCAGTGGACTCAAACAAAGGGTCAGTGACAGCAGTGGCCAGAAAGCGCGTGACAGCTGGACAAGCAGCACGGAGGGAGTCAGACGCAGGGTCCGGACCAGCAGGAAGAGAGGACGCAGGAGGAGACTGCAGAGGGACACGCTGCGGAG